GATATTCTGGATGGAAATTTAAATAACGTGGCAGTTGTGTGTGAAGGAGAAGAAAGAGAAATTAATTTAATTCCATTTACTGATGTGACTGTAGCCCAACTATTTTTAGGTATAATCCAAACAGTGCATATCGTTTCCATTTTGATTAGTAGGAAATTGGCAGCGAGTCAAAAGAATTAGTATTTCTCAGCACATTATGCTAGAAACGTACAAATAAAACGACATTATCCATGCCAATGTAGTTAATTGGAATTACTGCTAAGGTTTAAGCATTTAAGAAAAGAAAGAGCCTAACTTTGTTTTTCTGGCTTTTTTTTTTCACTCCCTCCCCAAGCATTAGAAAACTTGTAGAATCATTTCTACTTAGACCCCTGCTTCGAAGTTTTTGATGAAAACTTCAGTGCTAACATCACCCTGATGTTTTGGGTGCAGAACTTCCGCCTAGCACTTTTACGTAGTCCAGAGAGGAAGTCGATACATTTAACAAAATGGGAAATTAAAATGAGCTGGGACAATATGCTTCACGAGGAAAGGTTTCACAATCGCCACTTAGAAGTTATTAATAATTCCAGCGCCCAAGAAAGCACAAATCAGAAATGAAACCTCTTTTGCTGGGTTTTATGTAGACAGATTCACCCAGGCAGAAAGCTTTAGGCTACGCCACTTGTCCATTTCTGGCCAAAGGGAGAAACATACACGCCTTGGAAAACCCTGATTGGTTCTACATTAAGAAACCCGAAACTCAGGGGAGCTCTGGTGGCCTAGTGGCAAGGACCTGCAACTACAATCCCAGAGGCACATGGTTCGAATCCACCAGATGCTATGCCGGGAAAAGGAGGGACAATCTCCTCCTGTACCAGTCAGAGCTGATTTGGTGGTACACTCAAGCAGAACATGTGTGGATCTTGGCCATTCAACTTCAGTATCTTTGGGCTTTTGCCTTTGTTACATGTACAGCTCCATCTTTGTTAAGGTTGACTTTCTGCGAATTCATTGTCTCGTCCCATTCGCTTCTACTGTGCAGAATCCATCAATTTAAATAGGCTTGGCAATTTCCCGCTCTACCTTTTGCTATGTTATTGTTGTTGTGCGCCACTGAGTCAATTACGGCTGAATGGCTCTGAACTTCATCCTTTTCTAAGCTAACATCACTGTTTCTGACATAGCTGACCGCACTGTCATAGGCACTATGTCAATCCATCTCACCCAGGGTCTTCCTCTCCCGCACTGGCCCTCAACCCTTCCAAGCATGATGTCCTTCTCCAAGGACATGTCCCTCCTGACAAGATGCCCAAAGTATGTGAGAAGGAGTTTAAAAATTTTTGCCTTCAAGGAGCAACCTGATTTCACCCTCTGCGGGACTGACCTGTTTGTTCTCTTGGCAGTCCATGGGATGGTCAATACTCTTCTCCAGTACCACAACTCAAACTATAGGAATAGGTAATCTGGCTTCCCACAACATAAAGTAAGATTCCAGGAAATTCTAATCAAGCTTGGTTTTCAAATTCTTATAATCCTCGTTTAGAAGGTTTGGGGGAACACAAATAAAATAAAAAAATGCATGTTTTACTATTTTATCATTTCTTCTTCTGTTTAAACTAGTCCCAAGATAACCTCTCATTTTCTTCTCAATTTATTCCTTAAATAATCAGAACCTGTTGTTGATTGCCTTCGAGTTAAGTACGACTCATAGTGACCCTACGAACAAAAGGCCTGAAGCCCCTCTGCAACTATCGACATTTATCAAAGTTCACAGGGTTTATGGAGGCATGTTGTTTAGGAAGTGGATGCCACTCCTGCTTCCAAAATCTAAACCTAGCTGCTAAATAAGGAAATGACATGTATTTGTTCTGAAAGTATAGAGAACTTCAAGACTGGAAGAGCTCAAGTTACGCGTATAGAAACTGTGCTGCAATCCCAAAGGCATGTGGTTTGAATCCCAACTGCTCTGTGTAAGAAAAATGGGCAGTCTCCTGCTGTGAGATCAGCTGCCTCTGAAACCTCCCAGGAGGTTCGTTCCCAACTCAACGATAAACAACAATAAGAGCTGTATTTTATAAAGGAAAGTTTCCTTTCCATTTAAATGTGGAGAATTGTCTAGATGAATTGGGAAACTGAAAATATGAAGTATGACTCTGATAGTCTCACATGCCACATATCTGCCAGTGTTCTTGTAAAGACTTTAAAATATAGATGAGACAAAGTGTGTCTTACCTGGCGGCACAGGAGAGAGCAAGAGAATTCTGCGTAGAAGAAGCTGTGCTGCAATCCCAAAGACGCGGAGTTTGAAACCACCAGCTACTCTGCAGGATGCACCATCTCCTCCAATGTGATTCAACACCTCTGAAACCCAGCTGGAGGTTCAGCTGTGCTTCAGTTCCAACTCAACAGCACACAACAACAACAACTGGGAAGGTAAAGTGAAAGTCCATCCCAAGATAGATTTTGCTTTCTCTAGAATAAGCTTCCTTATAGATTCAGTTTTGTCATTTTAAAGCTTTGCCATCTCGGTCTTCTCTTGGAAGAAGGGGTTAGATTTTGTAGAAGCTTTAGTTGAGAAGGCTTCTACTGTTCATGCAAAGTCTGCTAGCCTCTAAAACATCTGTATGTCCAGCCTTTCTCAGAAGCCTCCTGCCAAGTCTTTAAAATATCTTATTGCAAAAAAAGAGGTCCTTAGTCCAGACTTCCCCTCTTAGAAAGTGGCGTGCTCAATGTTACCGCTTGACAAGAGCCCAGCCTGGCTGTCCTTAACTTTGCTTTCTTTACTGTACAACCATGAAATGAGAAAAGCTGAGTTTACAAACACAGAGAGAAATACTTCAAGTTATTTTGGCAGGGGACACAGAACTCATCTCAGGATGGAATTTCACTATGTGTTCCTCAGAAACGAATGAGGAGGCCTGGGAAGGGGTGGATCCTACCCACAGGTTATTGTAATCTTGTTACAAAGTTAAGTTACTTCCTGCTTGCTTAGCTTCTACCTGGTGACCCACTTGCCCAGAATTTTGACTAAAGAATCGAATTACATAGAATTATTTACTTCAGAAGACATCCTACAAGTTTTTACTTTGCCAGGAAAGGTTTTTTGTTTTCATTCTAAACTGCCACAGGAGAAAAATACTGATGGATAACAGATAATGTAAGGATTTTTCACAGGACAAAATGGGCTGGACTGTGGGAGTCACTTACCGAGTTCAAAGCAGACGATGAATTGGTTGGTCAGTGCATGAGTCTTCCTCTCTTTGTGTCTGTACAAAGGTGCAGCTGTCACCTGGCCTGTTTCACTCATAAAATTAAAATAATACAAAATTAGCACCAAGTCGGCACACCAATTCACGGCTGACTTGCCAACACCAGTAAAGTTTTAATCCATATGATTCTCAGGCCATTTCTGAAGCCAAGGGCAGCAGAGAGGAACTTGACAGCAGCTACCAGTTGTCAGAACACCTTGAACGTGGCTGTGAAAGTGCAGGACTAACCCACAGCTCTGCACAAGAGCCCTCCTTTTCTCATTTACTGGCATTCTGCAATGGTTTTGAGTTATGAGAAGCTCCAAAAAGCACTGCGTTAGAAATCGAGTCTGTATTTGGAGCCAAACAGCCTTTGCCACTATCACTGACCCCTCCCTTAGAGACACACGGTACATAATCTTGATTGTGCTTCACTGGCATTTATTGCACATAGATCAGTTCCTCACACAGTAGCTAGCTGCACCAGAGAATAAATACTTGGTAAAACACACACGAGCGAATAGAATTTATACACAGGTGCTAAATTTTACCAGCAGATTCACGGGGCACTTAGACATAAAAAAATAATTAAAAAAATCCCTTAAAGAATTCTATTTATAATATGGATACAGTTACAGTACCATGATAAAAGAGTAAAAATTAAAAAAAAGCATTTCCCCCCAGTAAATCATTAACTCAACAGCATAATAATATAATAGACAACAGAAGTAGAGTTTGAATTTTATTTTCGGTTTGAAGACACCATCCCCCCATAAAAATATTGTATTTCTTTTTGTGTGCAAGTAACATCTATGGACTTCAAAACTCCTAACACTGTGCAAAAACATGGCATTTTTAACCACTCCCTTTTTTGTTTATTACCCCAAATGTGCAGTTCTATTTTGATATTAGAATAGTTTTTCTTCTTTTTTTAAAAAATGTAATTTTCCGGTCCTGTCTTCAAGGGACAGAGTTACATGTCACAGAGGCTCCTTCAAACTAATATTGATACATAAATAAGCTGTTTAATATAAACAAGTCTTTCTATCTTGCTGTGCGGTGAGCACAGTGTGAGGTAGAAATCCCTCAGCCTGACCATCAGGTGCGGGGGAGGGGGGGATTGCGGGGGGGGGGAATGGGGCGCAGGTGGCCAGTCCCCCTACAAAAGCTAAGCAAGTTGAGACTTGCTCCAAGAATAGCTTAAGATTGTTTGAAACAGGATTGTTGCATTCATCCTTCCCCTTTGCTTTAAGAACTAGATAAATCATTATGGGGGAGTGAAAAAGAAGATTCTCTGGAAAGCAAAGGGAACCAGTTCTGACAAGTCGCTCCCCCCATGATTGCTTCTATCGCCCTGAATAACTGACCAACTTTTAGCCCCTAACTCATCTCCCTTCCCAATCCACGCAACTGCCATTCAAGTCCTCGCAGAAAGTGTCAAAAACCCGCCTGGCAGGGTGGCGGTGGGGAGGATATCAAAGATGCACCCTCCTCGCGCACGCAAGAAGGCCGAACTACCAACAGAAAAGACCCGCAGAAAAACCGGCGACAGCCCTCCCCAAACTTTCCTTAGTGTGGCTTTTCTGTTTGTCCTGGCTGACTCCCACTAGGTTTGCAGGCTTGGCGTCCACCTGCTTTCGGTCGGTAAACACTGCGTTCGTCTTTCCTGGGCTGTGGCGCTGAGCCCAGGGGGCGGCCACCACGCGCGCAGCGCAGACCCCGAGCGCGCAGCGCAGACCCCGAGCGCGCACCGCAGACCCCAAGCGCGCCGCCCTACACTTTGGACTCGGAGGCGGAGCCCCGGCGGCTCGGCTCGTCCAGGCTCGAGTCGCTGTCCGCCGCCGCCCCGCCGTTGCAACCAGCCCAGGGTTCGAGCAGGCGCGCGGGCGGCGCGGCCCCGACGTCCTCGTCCTCGTCCTCGTCGTCGGCTCCGGGCGACGGCGGCGGGCCGGTCACCGCCAGGCAGCCCGAGGTGCGCGGCCTGTCGCCGGCGGCCGCGTGGCGCCTCCGTGCAGCCCGGCGCGCGCAGCAGAGCAGGCGCTGGAAGGCCTTGCGGAAGTCGGGGCTGCGGCAGTAGATGATGGGGTTGAAGGCCGAGTTGGCGTAGCCCAGCCAGTTGAAGAAGACGAAGAGGCGGTCGGGCACCAGGTCGCGGTGGAAGGCCTTCACCACGTTGGCCAGAAAAAAGGGCAGCCAGCACAGCGTGAACACGCCCATGATGATGCCCAGCGTCTTGAGCGCCTTCTGCTCGCGCAGGGCCACGAGGCGCGAAGGCCGCCGCTTGCTGGTGCGCCCGTTGGCCACCGGGGCGGCTGTGCGTGGGGTACCCGGCGAGGGCGCGGGCGACGGCGACCGTGCAGGGGTCCCCAGGAAGCGGCGCTCGCAGCTGTCTATCTTCTTCACCTGCTTCTGAGCCTCGCGGAAGACCCGCAGGTACACAAAGGCCATGATACACAGAGGCACGTAGAAGGAGACGACGGACGAGGCGATGGCGTACGCCCGGTTGGTGACGAAGTCGCAGCACTTGGGGTCGTTGTAGCAGCGGCCCGCCTCGTCCTCCTTGGCCCGCCACCAGTGCATGAGGATGGGCAGGAAGGACACCAACGCCGAGATGGCCCACACGGTGCAGACAAGAACTCGCGCCCGCGCGCGGGTCAACAGGCTCTGGTAGCGGAATGGTGACGTGATGGCGAGGTAGCGGTCCAGGGCGATGACACACAGCGTCTCGATGCTGGCCGTCACACACAACACATCCACTGAGGTCCAGAGCTCACAGAAGAAGGAGCCGTACTCCCAGCGGCCCCACACCACGATGGTGGCACCAAATGGCACCACTAGCAGTCCCATGACCAGGTCGGCGCTGGCCAGGGACATGATGAAGAGGTTGGTGAGCGTCTGCAGCCGGGGAGTCTTGGCGATGGCTACGATCACCAGCACGTTGCCTGCCACGATGAACAGCACGATGAACGCCATCAGCAGGCCCATGCCGGCCGTCCACTGCTGCGACAGTGGCGTGGGGCCGTCGCTCGCGGAGGGCAGCAGCGAGGGGGGCGGCGACGCGAGCACCAGCAGTCGCGCCGCTGTGGCCGCGCCGTCGGGGAGTGGCGCTGCGGACGACAGGTTGCAGGGCTCTGAGGCGCCCAGGGCGAGCGCCCCCGCGCCCATGCCGAGATGCGGAGGCTGGGGGCGGGGGGTGTGGCGGGGCTGGGCCGTGGCTGGGGAACACCCCAGAAGCTGGGCGGCGGGACGCGCCGCGAAAGGTAGTGGCCAGGTCAGGACAGCCGCGGCGCTGGGCCTGAGGCATCGGCGCCGGGCGCCTTCCCTGCCGGAGCCAGAGCCGGGCGCTGTCGCCGCCGCCGCCTCCGCCGCTGCTGCTGGAGACGCTGCCGCTGCTGGAAGAGCCGCCGGGACCTCAGCATGTTTCTGAGCGCGCCGGGCCCGCAGCCTCGGCACCCACCCCACCCGGCTCCGACTGCCCCCACTCCAAGCCAACCCCCGGGGCCTCGCGTCAGCCTTCAGTAGCCAATCGGGGCCAAGGCACGCCCCGATCTGGTACCCCTCCCAGCTCCCCGCACTACCCTCTCACCAGCAATTAGGTGGCTCTGGGGAGTAGGGCGCAAAGCGCAGAGAATAGTCTACCCGGTGCCGGCTGGTTCCTGCGCGCGCGCGCGCCGAGTCCTGTGCCCCATTCACCCACCGCGCAGCTCCTGCCTTCGTCCCCGCCTTCTCCTGCGGCGCCTACTCACCCCTGCCACACTCTTCTCACTGTTAGACTGGTCTTGCCTCTGGCACCAGCTCCCTTCTCCATCCCTAGCTTGCTCCTGTGCCTCCCCCAACCCTCCTGCGCTCCCAGATCCCCTTGGCGTCCCCTCTACCTCCAGTGCCGGGGCCCTCTGCAGAGCTGAGCGCGCGCTCCCGTTAGCGCAGAGGACATCTGTCTGTTTTTGAAGCTCCAGAGCGCAGTGGAGCGCTTGTCCGCTGCGATTGGAGGAGTTTTGGCAGCGAAATTGTTTCTCGATCGGGCATACTAACAGGGTGTGTGTGTAAAACACTTCCCTCATCAAAAGGGGACCCAGCCAGCCTGCGTCCTGCCAGCTCTGGCGATCCGAGGTGGGTGTTAGTGGTTAGAGGAAACTTTCCAGCAGAGCTCGTTGCAGGAGCAAACTGCATCTGTCAGCTTCGCTCCCGGCCGGCCGCTGTTCTTGTGAGGAGCTGCTGTTGTTTCAGTGATTGTAAATGCGAAGGTCTGTGCGTCCAACAGAGGACGAGTTCTAAAAACACACTCCTCGGTCCCAGCTGATGAGTTTGAGTATGATGCAACAGTGTGTACTGATAACGAAAAGAGAGAGGCTTTGGAAAACACAAATATTAATGTACAAAGTAAATGACACCGCCACGGAGAAAGGGCCAATTTAATTGCATTTCAGACTTTGTACATTGAGGATTAACACCTGTATTTTGCCTTTTATTACTCACACGATTCTATAATTTGAGCTGGGTCAATACAAACGCAAAGGTACAGTCAGGCTAGGTTGACAGCGTGAACTAAAGTTTCCCAGGTTTTGGTCTATAGGGTTTGTTCTCTCCTTTGCCCAAGTTTCCTAGTTTCTCAAACTCTGAAATTAGTTTGGGAAGGATGAGAGAAGAAAATGAATAAATACTCAAGAGGTTTAGAATCTGCAAACATTTAAAGATGTATCAGTGGTTTTCGATTTGGCTGATGATGGGGTCTGAAAATTGTTCTAGGAAGTGGCTCCTTTTTAAATTTTTTTTTTCTTTTTAAAGTCATAAACATCAGAGAAACAGCAGTTCCCATCATCTGGCTTGACCATGGTAATGTCTGTCAACTCGGGTCAACAGAGCTTTCACTGAATCTTGGAGAAATAAATCACTTTCAAGATTTCATGTAAGTGCACATGAAAAGTTATATAATGCTGACATCTTACCAGCATTGGAATTGTTTTAAAAAATCACCACCTGGAAGACGAGCATCTTGACCAATCTTAAATTCTTGCGTTATAGACAGACTGATTCCATAGCTGTTCAATTAAAGGGCAAAGAGCAACGATACCTACTAAGTTTGTAGAGTTAAGCAGTTTTAACTGCCTGTTTTTTAGTTTGTTGTTATGCATCACTGAGTGGTATCAACTCAGCTGACCCTACATCAGGCATTGAGAGGCTGTAAATCCCACTGAAGGAGATTGCTTATCTTTCTCTCACAGACCAACTAGTGTATTTGAACTGGGGGCTTTTGGGTTGACAGTGAAACTCTTCACTACTGGGCCACTAGAACTCCTAGAATACAAATATATAAGTAAACGTTTGTTCTAAGGTTGGCATTCAGAGTCCTACAACCATGTATTTGTCTGTTTACCCCAATGCTAGGATATATTATGATTTAAGTCCAGACTTGATATTTAGAGTGTTTCAAATAGTGGTGCTTTATTTATTTATTTTTATTCAACCCTGCCTCTGGATGGATGGGCTCACTTCTGCCAATCTGGGGAGGTTGTGGAGAGGAGACTAGAGGGTCTAGCAAGAGCAAGAGAATTAGTAATAGTAATGAATTATACTCATTCCTCTTCTAGTCCTTCAAGGGGTCGTCTCAAAATAGCTTAGAGATTAGAAAGACTTGAATTTGCTGCTATCCAAGAGGTAGAGTGCCTGGCTGTGGGGCAGGGTGGCAATGTGGGGGAAAGGTTTTCTATCGGGCGCCATCTTGCTGTCAAGTGGTGTTACCAGAATAGAGAGTGCTAACCTTAAGTGCCCCTGAAGGGTGAAGGAATTGCATTTCTGCAAGCGATAAACCAGAACTTGGTTGGAGAGGTGCAGAACAGAAGCATGAATAGTTTTGGGGTTTTTTTTACACATAAAACCTTTAGGTATCAGGCCTTGAGATTTGAATTGTTGAGAAACTCTCCAGAAATTTTGTTTCTTCTCATTCAGTGATATTAGTTTTTCTGAATTTATGTATTAAGGAATGCATTTTTAAAAGCTTCAAAAAATAAGATTATTATAGCAGACTTTCATGAAGGGCTATGCATGCCTTGCTTTTGAGTCATGACTGATGTTGTTGTTAGGTGGCAGTTGAAGATGATATATAGAGACCTGTGGACAACGATCTAAACCCTGCATTATCCTATGCCATTCTCATTATCCCTGACACACGGGAGCCAATTGCCTAAGTCACTGCATCAATCCATCCCCTTGAGGGTCTTCCTCTTTTTTACTGACCTTCTCCCTTTCCAAACATGATTTCTCTCTTTCCAAGGAATAGCCCCTCCTAACAACATGGCCAAAGTATGAGAGACAAAGCTTCATCCTTTCCTCCAAGGAGCCACCCTGGCTGCATTTTCTCTAAGATGTAACTGTTCTCTTGGCGGTCCATGATATAGTCAAGACTCTTCTCCAACACCACAACTCAAAAACATCAATTCTTTTTCTGTCATCTTTGTTCATTGTTTTCATTTGTTTCATTTGTTCAGCTCTCAGCAGCATAACAGATGACTGGAAAGACCATGGCTCAGATCAAGTGCACCTTAATCTTTAAACTGACATCACTGCTCTTCAGGACTTTGGAGACTTTCCCAATGCAATATATTCCTGATTTCCTGACTGCTGGTACCAAGGAGGTTGGTTGTGGATCCAAGATGAAATCATTGACAATTTCAATCTTTTTCTCTATCTGTAATGATGTTGCCTCTTGGTTCAGTGGTGAAGCGTTTTGTTTTCTTGATGTTGAGTGTAATCCTTACTGAAAGCTGTTGTTATCTTCTTAAGCAAGCACTTCAAGTCCTCTTCACTTTCAGCAAGTAAAATTATCATCTGCATAATGCATGTTGCTGATAAGTCTTTCTACAATGCTAATGCCACATTCCTTTTCATAAAGTCCTGGAGGATATTGTCCATCTTTCTCCCATGGATCAAGTGGATTCAAACTGCTTGCCTTTGGGTTGTCAGCACAGCTCCTTACCCATTGGACCACCAGAACTCCTTGTAGGGCAATGAGCCAAAGTATTCTTGAGGATCTCCTTCCGGTGACCTGAAACATGGGATAATCCACTGTTCAACAGGTGTTAGTTTTCTTTTTAAAATAGAATCTTCCCAGATCACCTTTAATTCCTCCGTTTCATGACATTTCGAGACACTTTGTGATTAGATGAGACTCTGAAATCAAGAGGGGAAGATTCAGCATGCCACCTTGGGCAGGTTTTTCTATGTTTTGGAAGTTGCAGCTTTAAAATGAATCACTCCTCCAGCTCCCTGGTCCCCATCTGCAACTGTTAAAGTGAATCAGCTCTGAACCCACACATTTGACAATACTTGAGAAAATAACAGCTCTCCCGCAATAATGCTAATCAGCTCTCTGGAAGAGGTGGCTCGGTGCAGCTCTCTGGATTGCCCGCCCACACTCCTCCAGTTCCAGCCCACCTCCTCACCCTGCACCTGAACTTGGCAGGGACTTCATCTCCTTGTCTCTTTCCCTTCCTCTCTGTTTGCCCTGACATTCCGTAGTCAAATGAGTAGTTCTAAAACTTTGACCAAGATGTTTTACTGTTCAGCAGCCTTAACTCAACTTGACATTCGGTGTCCTCCACATTCCAGTTCAAATGGCCTTTCTAGAGCTATGTCACTCTGCTGTTGTCGTGTGCCGTGGATTCACAGGCAACTCAGAGCTGACCCTCCAGCAGCTTCTTAGAGGCTGTGTGTATGTTGTAAGAAAGGAGATCACACCTCTTTCTCTTGGGGAACAGCTGGCAGATTTGAACTCCCCGCCTTAGGGTTGGTAGCACCACTAGGCCATTGCTGCCGAACTTGTATTCCTTTCCCCTCCCTTGCATCTGAGCTCTATCTCTCTGGGTTCCCTTCAGCAAAAATTCTCCCTTTCTTCTCTGGCGGCCTAGTGGCTACGGAGTTAATGAATGTTTAATTAACTAAAATATTTTCGTATTTACTCACAGAAGAGTGTTTTGGGAATTACAGTCTTCACTCATGTGTGTAATTTATGACAACTCATACTCCTACAACTTGGTCAACATTTCCAAATAATTATTTGAAAACAATTTGCAAATACTAGATAAGCTCACGAGATACCACCTCCAGTAATGAAAAAAAAGAACTACCTAGGGAAGAGGCTTTTCAAATGTAATGAAAGTTACATTAAAAGAAAAAAGGCCAGGGAGCTCTGGTGGCCTAATGGCAAGAAGATGCGTTGCAATCCCAGGGGTATGTGGTTCGAA